CCCCAATGTCCCCAAACCCCCCTCGATGTCCCCAAAGTCCCCTCGATGTCCCCAAACCCCCCCCAATGTCCCCAAACCCCCCCAATGTCCCCAAACCCCCCCCAATGTCCCCCCTCTGTCCCCTCTGTCCCGTACCGGGGCGCTGCAGCACGTGGGGCACGAAGGCCGGGCGCAGGATCGGCGGCCGCTGCGGTGACACTGCTGGGGACAGGGGACAGCGCCCGTTGGGGACCCCCAGGGGACGTCTGGGGACCCTCGGGGACGTTTGGGGACACCCAGGGGACCCTTGGGGACATTTGGGGACGTTTGGGGACACCCAGGGGACGTTTGGGGACACCCAGGGGACGTTTGGGGACCCCCAGGGGATGTTTGGGGACACCCAGGGGATGTTTGGGGACACCCAGGGGACGTTTGGGGACACCCAGGGGACGTTTGGGGACACCCAGGGGATGTTTGGGGACACCCAGGGGACGTTTGGGGACACCCAGGGGACGTTTGGGGACACCCTGGGGATGTTTGGGGACACCCAGGGTACCCTTGGGGACACCCAGGGGATGTTTGGGGACACCCAGGGGACCCTTGGGGACATTTGGGGACGTTTGGGGACACCCAGGGGATGTTTGGGGACACCCAGGGGACGCCTGTGGACCCCCAGGAGACCCTCGGGGGACCCTCGGGGACGTTTGGGGACACCTGGGGACATCTGGGGACATTTGGGGACACCCAGGGTACGTTTGGGGACCCCCAGGAGACCCTCAGGGGACCCTCGGGGACATTTGGGGACACCCAGGGGACCCCTGGGGACGTTTGGGGACCCCCAGGGATGTTTGGGGACCCCCCAGAGGACCCTTGGGGACATTTGGGAACCCCTGGGGACGTTTGGGGACCCCCAGGGATGTTTGGGGACCCCCCAGAGGACCCTTGGGGACATTTGGGAACCCCTGGGGACGTTTGGGGACCCCCAGGGGACATTTGGGGACATTTGGTGACACCGACCTGGCCCCACGAAGGGCACCGGCGATGTCCCCAACGGGGGGACGGTGGCGGCGGCGGCGGCGCGAGCCTCGAGGGACTGCTGGACCTGGGGACAGCGGGGGGGACACTTGGGGACACCTGGGTGGCACTTGGGGACACTCAGGGGACACCTGGGTGGCATTTGGGGACACTTGGGGACACTCAGGGGACAGCTGGGTGGCACTTGGGGACACTTGGGGACACCTGGGTGGCACTTGGGGACACTTGGGGACACTAAGAACATTTTGGGGACATTTGGGGACAATTTGGGGACAATTTGGGGACATTTGAGGCCATTTGGGGAGATTTGGGGACAATTTGGGGCCATTTGGGGCCATTTGGGGACATTTTGGGACAATTTGGGGACATTTGGGGACATTTGGGGCCATTTGGGGCCAATTTGGGGACATTTGGGGACATTTTGGGGACATTTGAGGCCATTTGGGGACATTTGGGGTCATTTTGGGGACATTTGGGGACATTTTGGGGACATTTGGGGACAATTTGGGGACACACCTGCTGGTAGGTGTTGGTGGCAATGATGGGGCGCAGGACGGGGGGCGGGGCCAGGGGGTCCCCGGGGGCGGGGCCTGGAGCCCCCAGCACCTCCTGCTCGAACCTGCACCAGTAAAAACCAGTAAGGACCAGTAGAAACCAGTAAGGACCAGTAGAAACCAGTAAGGACCAGTACAGACCAGCATGGACCAGTACGAACCAGTACAAACCAGTATGGACCAGTAAGGACCAGTATGGACCAGTAACACACCAGCATAGGCCAGTACAGACCCGTAAGGACCAGTACAAACCAGTAAAGACCAGTACAGACCCGTAAGGACCAGTACAGACCAGTACGCACCAGCATAAACCAGTAAAGACCAGTACAGACCCGTAAGGACCAGCACGGACCACTAAAGACCAGTACAGACCAGTACGGACCAGTACAAACCAGTAAAGACCAGTACAGACCCCTAAGGACCAGCACGGACCAGTAAGGACCAGTACAGACCAGTACGGATCAGCATAGACCAGTACACACCAGTATAAACCACTAAAGACCAGCACAGACCAGTACGGACCAGTACAAACCAGTACGGACTCCTGACCCACCCAGTGCCCCCCAGTTACCCCCAGGCCCCGCCCCCGTTGCCACGGCAACCCCTGAGCCCGCCCTTTTCACCAAGCCCCGCCCCTGTTGCCACGGCAACCGCGAGCCCGCCCTTTTTACCAAGCCCCGCCCCTGTTGCCACGGTAGCCGCGAGCCCGCCCTTTTCACCAAGCCCCGCCCCCGTTCCCATGGCAGCCGCTAAGCCCCGCCCCCTCCCGTCCGCCATGATGCGCCCGCCGCTCCCTTCCCCTCACAGCGCCATCTCCGCCTCCATCTCCTTCAGCCGCTCCTCGCCGCTCTTGGCCGCGGCTCCGCCGCCTCCCGCCGCCGCTCCGGGACCGGGACCGGGCCCCGCCGCCACCACCCCGGGACCGGGCCCGGTTCCCGCCGCCATTCCCGGCCCGGCCGCTCCCGGAGCCGCCGTCGCCGCCATGATTGAAAACACCTCAACCGCTTCCGCTCGCTTGAGGGGCACTTCCGGCGCGCCGCTGTGACGTCACTCCGCGCGACAACACAATTAAAAACAACCAATAAAACCGAGGCGAATTTGGGGCGAAATCGCCTCAAAACGGTCAAAAAACGCTTTAATGGCGGCCAGAGAAGGGGGGGAGGGGGCGCTCAGCGCTTGAGTTCGCTGTAGAGGTCCCCGCGCGCTCCCTGCAGCTCCTGGTAGTGCGAGTCCGGTTCCGGGGGGCGGGGCTTGGGCGGGGCTGTGGGCGGAAAGGGGGCGGGGTCACTGTGAGGCCACGCCCACTCGGCCCAGTGACTCCCAGTAACCTCCCAGTGCTCCCAGTAACCTCCCAGTGCTCTCCCAGTTACCCCCAAGGCCTTCCCAGTGCTCCCAGTTCCCTCCCAGTAACCTCCCAGTGCTCCCAGTTACCCACAGTGTGCTCCCAGTTACCCCCCGGGCCCTCCCAGTGCTCCCAGTTACCCACAGTGTGCTCCCAGTTACCCCCCGGGCCCTCCCAGTGCTCCCAGTTACCCACAGTGTGCTCCCAGTTACCCCCCGGGCCCTCCCAGTGCTCCCAGTTACCCACAGTGTGCTCCCAGTTACCCCCCGGGCCCTCCCAGTGCTCCCAGTTACCCACAGTGTGCTCCCAGTTACCCCCCGGGCCCTCCCAGTGCTCCCAGTTACCCACAGTGTGCTCCCAGTTACCCCCCGGGCCCTCCCAGTGCTCCCAGTTACCCACAGTGTGCTCCCAGTTACCCCCCGGGCCCTCCCAGTGCTCCCAGTTACCCACAGTGTGCTCCCAGTTACCCCCCGGGCCCTCCCAGTGCTCCCAGTTACCCACAGTGTGCTCCCAGTTACCCCCCGGGCCCTCCCAGTGCTCCCAGTTACCCACAGTGTGCTCCCAGTTACCCCCCGGGCCCTCCCAGTGCTCCCAGTTACCCACAGTGTGCTCCCAGTTACCCCCCGGGCCCTCCCAGTGCTCCCAGTTACCCACAGTGTGCTCCCAGTTACCCCCCGGGCCCTCCCAGTGCTCCCAGTTACCCACAGTGTGCTCCCAGTTACCCCCCGGGCCCTCCCAGTGCTCCCAGTTACCCACAGTGTGCTCCCAGTTACCCCCCGGGCCCTCCCAGTGCTCCCAGTTACCCACAGTGTGCTCCCAGTTACCCCCCGGGCCCTCCCAGTGCTCCCAGTTACCCACAGTGTGCTCCCAGTTACCCCCCGGGCCCTCCCAGTGCTCCCAGTTACCCACAGTGTGCTCCCAGTTACCCCCCGGGCCCTCCCAGTGCTCCCAGTTACCCACAGTGTGCTCCCAGTTACCCCCCGGGCCCTCCCAGTGCTCCCAGTTACCCACAGTGTGCTCCCAGTTACCCCCCGGGCCCTCCCAGTGCTCCCAGTTACCCACAGTGTGCTCCCAGTTACCCCCCGGGCCCTCCCAGTGCTCCCAGTTACCCACAGTGTGCTCCCAGTTACCCCCCGGGCCCTCCCAGTGCTCCCAGTTACCCACAGTGTGCTCCCAGTTACCCCCCGGGCCCTCCCAGTGCTCCCAGTTACCCACAGTGTGCTCCCAGTTACCCCCCGGGCCCTCCCAGTGCTCCCAGTTACCCACAGTGTGCTCCCAGTTACCCCCCGGGCCCTCCCAGTGCTCCCAGTTACCCACAGTGTGCTCCCAGTTACCCCCCGGGCCCTCCCAGTGCTCCCAGTTACCCACAGTGTGCTCCCAGTTACCCCCCGGGCCCTCCCAGTGCTCCCAGTTACCCACAGTGTGCTCCCAGTTACCCCCCGGGCCCTCCCAGTGCTCCCAGTTACCCACAGTGTGCTCCCAGTTACCCCCCGGGCCCTCCCAGTGCTCCCAGTTACCCACAGTGTGCTCCCAGTTACCCCCCGGGCCCTCCCAGTGCTCCCAGTTACCCACAGTGTGCTCCCAGTTACCCCCCGGGCCCTCCCAGTGCTCCCAGTTACCCACAGTGTGCTCCCAGTTACCCCCCGGGCCCTCCCAGTGCTCCCAGTTACCCACAGTGTGCTCCCAGTTACCCCCCGGGCCCTCCCAGTGCTCCCAGTTACCCACAGTGTGCTCCCAGTTACCCCCCGGGCCCTCCCAGTGCTCCCAGTTACCCACAGTGTGCTCCCAGTTACCCCCCGGGCCCTCCCAGTGCTCCCAGTTACCCACAGTGTGCTCCCAGTTACCCCCCGGGCCCTCCCAGTGCTCCCAGTTACCCACAGTGTGCTCCCAGTTACCCCCCGGGCCCTCCCAGTGCTCCCAGTTACCCACAGTGTGCTCCCAGTTACCCCCCGGGCCCTCCCAGTGCTCCCAGTTACCCACAGTGTGCTCCCAGTTACCCCCCGGGCCCTCCCAGTGCTCCCAGTTACCCACAGTGTGCTCCCAGTTACCCCCCGGGCCCTCCCAGTGCTCCCAGTTACCCACAGTGTGCTCCCAGTTACCCCCCGGGCCCTCCCAGTGCTCCCAGTTACCCACAGTGTGCTCCCAGTTACCCCCCGGGCCCTCCCAGTGCTCCCAGTTACCCACAGTGTGCTCCCAGTTACCCCCCGGGCCCTCCCAGTGCTCCCAGTTACCCACAGTGTGCTCCCAGTTACCCCCCGGGCCCTCCCAGTGCTCCCAGTTACCCACAGTGTGCTCCCAGTTACCCCCCGGGCCCTCCCAGTGCTCCCAGTTACCCACAGTGTGCTCCCAGTTACCCCCCGGGCCCTCCCAGTGCTCCCAGTTACCCACAGTGTGCTCCCAGTTACCCCCCGGGCCCTCCCAGTGCTCCCAGTTACCCACAGTGTGCTCCCAGTTACCCCCCGGGCCCTCCCAGTGCTCCCAGTTACCCACAGTGTGCTCCCAGTTACCCCCCGGGCCCTCCCAGTGCTCCCAGTTACCCACAGTGTGCTCCCAGTTACCCCCCGGGCCCTCCCAGTGCTCCCAGTTACCCACAGTGTGCTCCCAGTTACCCCCCGGGCCCTCCCAGTGCTCCCAGTTACCCACAGTGTGCTCCCAGTTACCCCCCGGGCCCTCCCAGTGCTCCCAGTTACCCACAGTGTGCTCCCAGTTACCCCCCGGGCCCTCCCAGTGCTCCCAGTTACCCACAGTGTGCTCCCAGTTACCCCCCGGGCCCTCCCAGTGCTCCCAGTTACCCACAGTGTGCTCCCAGTTACCCCCCGGGCCCTCCCAGTGCTCCCAGTTACCCACAGTGTGCTCCCAGTTACCCCCCGGGCCCTCCCAGTGCTCCCAGTTACCCACAGTGTGCTCCCAGTTACCCCCCGGGCCCTCCCAGTGCTCCCAGTTACCCACAGTGTGCTCCCAGTTACCCCCCGGGCCCTCCCAGTGCTCCCAGTTACCCACAGTGTGCTCCCAGTTACCCCCCGGGCCCTCCCAGTGCTCCCAGTTACCCACAGTGTGCTCCCAGTTACCCCCCGGGCCCTCCCAGTGCTCCCAGTTACCCACAGTGTGCTCCCAGTTACCCCCCGGGCCCTCCCAGTGCTCCCAGTTACCCACAGTGTGCTCCCAGTTACCCCCCGGGCCCTCCCAGTGCTCCCAGTTACCCACAGTGTGCTCCCAGTTACCCCCCGGGCCCTCCCAGTGCTCCCAGTTACCCACAGTGTGCTCCCAGTTACCCCCCGGGCCCTCCCAGTGCTCCCAGTTACCCACAGTGTGCTCCCAGTTACCCCCCGGGCCCTCCCAGTGCTCCCAGTTACCCACAGTGTGCTCCCAGTTACCCCCCGGGCCCTCCCAGTGCTCCCAGTTACCCACAGTGTGCTCCCAGTTACCCCCCGGGCCCTCCCAGTGCTCCCAGTTACCCACAGTGTGCTCCCAGTTACCCCCCGGGCCCTCCCAGTGCTCCCAGTTACCCACAGTGTGCTCCCAGTTACCCCCCGGGCCCTCCCAGTGCTCCCAGTTACCCACAGTGTGCTCCCAGTTACCCCCCGGGCCCTCCCAGTGCTCCCAGTTACCCACAGTGTGCTCCCAGTTACCCCCCGGGCCCTCCCAGTGCTCCCAGTTACCCACAGTGTGCTCCCAGTTACCCCCCGGGCCCTCCCAGTGCTCCCAGTTACCCACAGTGTGCTCCCAGTTACCCCCCGGGCCCTCCCAGTGCTCCCAGTTACCCACAGTGTGCTCCCAGTTACCCCCCGGGCCCTCCCAGTGCTCCCAGTTACCCACAGTGTGCTCCCAGTTACCCCCCGGGCCCTCCCAGTGCTCCCAGTTACCCACAGTGTGCTCCCAGTTACCCCCCGGGCCCTCCCAGTGCTCCCAGTTACCCACAGTGTGCTCCCAGTTACCCCCCGGGCCCTCCCAGTGCTCCCAGTTACCCACAGTGTGCTCCCAGTTACCCCCCGGGCCCTCCCAGTGCTCCCAGTTACCCACAGTGTGCTCCCAGTTACCCCCCGGGCCCTCCCAGTGCTCCCAGTTACCCACAGTGTGCTCCCAGTTACCCCCCGGGCCCTCCCAGTGCTCCCAGTTACCCACAGTGTGCTCCCAGTTACCCCCCGGGCCCTCCCAGTGCTCCCAGTTACCCACAGTGTGCTCCCAGTTACCCCCCGGGCCCTCCCAGTGCTCCCAGTTACCCACAGTGTGCTCCCAGTTACCCCCCGGGCCCTCCCAGTGCTCCCAGTTACCCACAGTGTGCTCCCAGTTACCCCCCGGGCCCTCCCAGTGCTCCCAGTTACCCACAGTGTGCTCCCAGTTACCCCCCGGGCCCTCCCAGTGCTCCCAGTTACCCACAGTGTGCTCCCAGTTACCCCCCGGGCCCTCCCAGTGCTCCCAGTTACCCACAGTGTGCTCCCAGTTACCCCCCGGGCCCTCCCAGTGCTCCCAGTTACCCACAGTGTGCTCCCAGTTACCCCCCGGGCCCTCCCAGTGCTCCCAGTTACCCACAGTGTGCTCCCAGTTACCCCCCGGGCCCTCCCAGTGCTCCCAGTTACCCACAGTGTGCTCCCAGTTACCCCCCGGGCCCTCCCAGTGCTCCCAGTTACCCACAGTGTGCTCCCAGTTACCCCCCGGGCCCTCCCAGTGCTCCCAGTTACCCACAGTGTGCTCCCAGTTACCCCCCGGGCCCTCCCAGTGCTCCCAGTTACCCACAGTGTGCTCCCAGTTACCCCCCGGGCCCTCCCAGTGCTCCCAGTTACCCACAGTGTGCTCCCAGTTACCCCCCGGGCCCTCCCAGTGCTCCCAGTTACCCACAGTGTGCTCCCAGTTACCCCCCGGGCCCTCCCAGTGCTCCCAGTTACCCACAGTGTGCTCCCAGTTACCCCCCGGGCCCTCCCAGTGCTCCCAGTAACCTCCCAGTGCTCTCCCAGTTACCCCCAAGGCCTTCCCAGTGCTCCCAGTGACTCCCAGTGCTCCCAGTTACCCACAGTGTGCTCCCAGTTACCCCCCGGGCCCTCCCAGTGCTCCCAGTGACTCCCAGTGACCTCCCAGTGCTCTCCCAGTTACCCCCAGGGCCTTCCCAGTGCTCCCAGTGACTCCCACTCCTGTCCCAGTAACCCTCAGAGCCCTCCCAGTTACTCCCAGTAACCCCCAGAGCCCTCCCAGTTACTCCCAGTAACCCCCAGAGCCCTCCCAGTTACTCCCAGTGACCCCCAGGGCCCTCCCAGTGACCTCCCAGTTACTCCCAGTGCTCCCAGTGACGCCCAGTCCCCTCCCAGTTACCCCCAGTAACTCCCAGTGACCCCCAGTGACCTCCCAGTAACACACAGGGCCCTCCCAGTTACCCCCAGTGACCTCCCAGTGCTCCCAGTCCCCTCCCAGTGACCCACAGTCCCCTCCCAGTTACTCCCAGTTACCCCCAGTGACCTCCCAGTGCTCCCAGTCCCCTCCCAGTAACCCCCAGTCTCCTCCCAGTTACTCCCAGTTACCCCCAGTGACCTCCCAGTGACCCCCAGTGACCTCCCAGTCACCTCCCAGTGCTCCCAGTTACCTCCAGGGCCCTCCCAGTGACCTCCCAGTGCTCCCAGTTACCCCCAGTGACCCCCACAGACCCTCCCATTTTGGCCCCTCCCAGTTAAGCCACGCCCACAAAACGGCTCCTCCCAGTTTAGCCACGCCCACAAAACGGCTCCTCCCAGTTTAGCCACGCCCACAAACGGCTCCTCCCAGTTTAGCCACACCCACAAAAAGCTCCTCCCTGATTGGCCACGCCCACAAACGGCTTCCCCCTCTGGCCACGCCCACAAATGGCTCCTCCCAGTTTAGCCACACCCACAAAAAGCTCCTCCCTGATTGGCCACGCCCACAAACGGCTTCCCCCTCTGGCCACGCCCACAAATGGCTCCTCCCAGTTTAGCCACACCCACAAAAAGCTCCTCCCTGATTGGCCACGCCCACAAACGGACCCCCAGTTAAGCCACGCCCACAAAGGACCCCTCCCCCTCTGGCCACGCCCACAAACTGCCCCTCCCCGTTTAGCCACGCCCACCTGGGCAGCCCCGCCCCGCCAGCCAATAGGCTCCGCCCGCGATCAGCAGCGTCATGATGACGTCAGCGGCCACGAGCGCCGCGATTGGTCCCGGCCCGGGGAGGCACCCGGAACATTCTGGAAAAGGAGGGGGGAGGGGCCTCGTGACCCCTCCCGTGACCCCCGGGGGGTGGGGGAGGGGTGGGGGAGGGGGGGGGGAGGGGCCTCACCTCCTTCCGCTGTTGCCGCTCCTGGGA